ACACTCTCTAGCTGGAGGCACTGGGAGTGGTCTTGGATCCAGACTGGTTGAAGAAATCGTCAACATTTGCAACGTATTCCACAAATCCTTGCTTTTTATAAATTGATAGCTATTTTCTATGAGATTTAGCTAACGTAAGGAGAGAAATCAAATGTCATTTCACTCAAGCTTTAGTCTTTCTCTAATACATCCGTGGGGATTTCAATCCCGAGACTCCTTTGGAGCCCTGGATAATCAGTTACTCCAGTGATGTCGGCTAAATTTGTGATAGACGGAGGGTATTTTTAGAAATCATTAGGTTCCTCCGACATATCAAAGTACGGCCGAATTTCATTATTGTTACAGTAATAATTTGTCTGCTTCTATTGGTTGAGCAGGTAATTGTAATTTTAATTCTAATGTATCAGTGGATTTTATTAGTTTTACTAGTTGCAATTGTGTATCTATTCTTACATTAAAATACCATAGACCTTCTGATCACAGTTGCAAAATTCGAGATTCTCTAATTGACAACATTCATGTATCAGTTATGATTCTTTAATATACTAGATGTATCGTTCATCATTTTCAAAGCATTTTTGTGGTCTATGGCGATGTCTAAAGTTGATTTTATTTACTCTCTGTTCTCTCTAATAGATTCTATTAATGACTTTTGCATTATCGTAGGGAATACTGGCTAATTTGGATGCCTTAGATATTGAAAATCCTTCTTAGTGGACAAGTCTTAAGAACTAGCGTCTTTATTCATCGTTAATCTGAATGTACTTTCTGACCATAAGTTAATGAAATATTCTACTAAAATCATGAAAAATTATGTCTTCTTACAGAAACGAAAAAAAGAATATGAGGTAATAGATAGAGTGACGTAAAGTTAATTTTTAGTTGAATATGTCATATATTTTATAAGTTAATGGAATTGATTGTTACTTTCGTGTTTGAAATCATTGAATCATATTATTGTTATTGGAATATGCTTTTTGTGAAAGCAGATAAAGGAGTATATTCAATTTTTGCATTTGCATTAATTAACTTTCCTCCTACTATTTATGGGCCAAAGATATAAAGTGATTTTACAGTTGGAGGAGACTTAAATATTCCTTTGTGATTTGTATAGGATTTTAGGATTATGCTAAATAGCCAGAATTTACAGGCTGGACTATATTTTCTAGTGCTGATTCAAAAGGTAGAACTTATTTTACCGTTGTATCTCTATTTGCCTCCTAGAGTTTGTTTAATAAAAGTTGAGATGTTGTTAACTGCAGATCGTGCGATTTTTCTGAGTTAGTATCAGTTTATTAGCAAGAAGTGCCCTTTGAATTATCTATTTGCTACTTGAGAGTTTATAAATTTTCATTTTTTAACTTAAGACTGATGCCACAAGTGATTCTTTGAACTTACAAGCTATCAATATTTTAGGTTTGTAACCTCTCTACTGGAATTTTATTTCTTATAATTCCAATGAATTGATCTTCCTTCTTGGCTCTATATCTAAAGTTTCTTTTTTAAACTCTCTTCTCCTTCTTAAATACTTTATTTATCGCTTTAGCGGTTGGGTAGTAAATCCCTGTCATTTCAGCCGCACTTGAGATCGAGTGATTCTACTCATAAATGAGTTTGATAAGCTCTTTACGCTATTCATTCGTAACCTTTGTGTATTGCTTTCCCATTAGTAGAATCTCAGATCTCTTTAAATTTTAATATTTTAGAATCCGCTTATAATTTCATTATAAATACTTATTATGATGTATTAAAATCAAATAGCAATCACGTGCATTACCAACCATTAAATGGTATTATGCCAGTTAGAATTTTAATTTTTTTCCTATCTTTTAATGCTTCCAAACTACATGAGTGGGGTTTTGGGGTTTTGGGGAGATCGGAAGAGCACACGT